TATTATGAAACAATACTGATGCAAAACCCTGTGTGTAGGAGGCCGCGGCTCGTCAGCCGGACATGAGGCTGGACAGTGAACAGACGGCAGCAGAGAGTTCAGATGACCAGCCTGCTGTGACCGCTGCTACTGACCCAGATGTCGACTCTAAGACAGGTGCAGCTGAGTTGAATGTATTACGTACATAAACTTTAAAAAAATTGTGATAATTTCTCACGTTTGTGCACTGATTACATTTAGCGCGGTAGTTAGCATTGTTAGCCGTCACTGACTTTCAGATGCTGTTGATGGTGGGATTACGGTAATAAAAAAACATTTTTTAACACTTTGTGGCTAACAGCAAAACAACATAGTGTCCTTGTCCTCTTCAATTGAAAGTCAATCTTTTTTAGAAACCTAAATGCTAAATAACCTGTGTTTTTAAGCAATTTTATATGATGTTAACTTGACAAAAAATGATTTTTCTGTGTTTCAGGCTGCAGAGCCATGTGTTGAATTAACATCTTTATAAAAAGGATAACTTTAATCTGTCTTTTTCCCACTCAGATGACACCGCTACAGAAGAAGGTGAACCCGTGGAGATGATAGAAGAGCAACATGAAGAACCTGCATTTAAAAAGAGGAAGACTGAAGGGTGAGGAAATGGTTTTTTGGTTTGAAATGCTGTTTTAATTAGGGAAAAATAAACGAACAAAAATCAAATACCTTATTTAAAAAGAAAAAGTCAATCTCTTTGACACTTGTTTTCTTCTTTCTCTCAGATCAGAGACCGGAGCTGCTGCAGATTCAGAGGCGACGCTTGTTCCTCCAGACGGTGACGCTCATGCGGAGGAGGGCCGACCTGAAGGTAAACACAACACGTGGACTGTAGAGAAGATGGTTGTCAGATATTATGGTATATGGAGTTCTAAATGTCAAGAACAAATACCGAGGTAAAGATGCTAAGTTTAACATTTTAACCTCAAACTTCTGTCAGACTGTGTCCTTATTCCCGGAGCCTCGACGGAGGAGTTAGAGGATGGAACACCGGAGGAGATCCTGGAGAAGGAGAGTGTTGCTGAGGAGGAGTCACAGGATAAAGACGACTCCGTTAGTTCACCCGGCCTACGGGAGGAAGTGGAGGACGTCATAGCGGAGGGCGCCAACAAATTTTACTGCTACCTCTGCAGCATTACCTGCCACAACCAGCAGGTGTGCCTGGAGTGATGTAGTCCTTCATGTTTTATCACTGGAACTGGAACTAAAAGTTGTGTGTGTGTCCGGTTTGTGTTCTGTGTTGTAGAACTTCAGGACTCACATGAACAGCATTTCCCACCAGCAGAGGATGATGGAGATCCAACACATGAGCAACGCCTGTCTGGTCACGCTGCTGCCTCGTGTGCAGGAGTCTCTGCAGGGAGCGGTCAAGGATGGGTCAGTTTTGTTTTTTGTTTTTTTACAGTTGAGACAAATTAGGGCTGGAACATTTAATGTGTATATTTTAATTAAATACTTACAAAAATTCAAGGGTTTAAGTAACACAAATACTGGTGAGACTAACGCACACACTCTAGTCCAGTAGGTGGCAGTATTGCACCGTAAAGTTAATTTGCCATTTGCCGATTATCAGTACACTCCAGTTCAAGTCCTTTTCTGTCTCCATCCATGCTAACGATGACAGTCCAGTCTGTCCTGTCGTATTTGTGGCATAAGTTTTAATTCACGTCAGGCCTGTTTTCTGACCATCCAATCAAATCACTCAAATCTCCAACATAACTCTGGGCCATCTGGAATACCTTGACGTGCCAGCTTGGTGCTATTGAATCGATATCTGATGACACTTTGTTGCTAACGGCAAAACAACATAATGTCCATGTCCTCTTCAATAGAAAATCATTGGTGAAAATTTCAGCGGGAGAGAAAGCTAGATGCTAAAGAACGGCAAATATTATGAATCCAAAAACTCTTTGTGCCAAATGTTGATATGTGATAATTTAAGGTGAATTCATGTCAAATCATCTGTGACAGAGAAACATGTTTAAGAAGGAGATGACGTTGACAAAGTGTCGTCTGTTTTCTTCGTAGAGAGAAAAAAGAAACGAAGCGCTGGTGTGGAACATGTCACACCCACTTTAGCAGCAGCATCATGGACCACCGTCGGACCAAGGAGCACAAAGTAACAGCTGCTCGATGTCGATCATCATGTGAACAACATTCAGTACAACACGTCTGCTTTTTTTCAAGTTAACGTCCAGATCTTTCATCATTCCTTCCTCAGCTGGCCACCAGAACGGCCTTCTCCTCCTGCACGGTCTGTAAGAAACCCTTCAGGAACCCTCAGAGTTTTCTGGAGCACCTGCAGTCCCTGGAGCACAGACAGAACCTTCACAAGGTTTTTTTTTTTTTTTAATAAACGATGTGAAGATGGAATCAGTCACTGAACCTCTGAGCTGCTGCACTTCACTGATGCAACCGTTTGTGTTCACCAGCTCCAGGAAGAGGGCGACGATGAGGCTCTGGCCAAACTGACAGCAGTGGACGCTGACGGATTTATGCTGGAAGAAGAGGAGGAGCTGAGTGAGGGGGAGGAAGAAGAGGAGAGGCAGGGGAAGGAGGGAGACGAGGAAAACTCTGAGGAACAGGTGATTTTCTTTGTTCTAAAAAAAACAACTAAATATAAATGACATGACCTTCCAGTGGACTCACCACCCGCAGGAGGGTTTTATGGGGGTTTGGTACGGTGCCGTGTGATTTGGGTGGCGACTGCTGCCCCCGCGACCCGGTAACGGATAAGCGGCTGAAAATGGATGGATGGATAAATTACATGAGAATAATACTGTATTATTTTCATCAACTTCCTTTACTTTTTCACACCATCTAATACTGTATAAAATAAAAAGAATTTTAAGGGAAATAAGACCAGACTTAAAATAAATAGTTAGCATAAACAGCACATTTACAAAGAACCTTTTATAAATATGTATATATTAGATATAAATATAATGTATATTTTTTAACACAGAATATATATTTAGTAGTAAATTGTAGACATGTTACTCATGTCGTTGTCCTTGTTGACCTGGAACAGTGTGACTGGTCCTCACGTAAGGAGGTGACGCTGAAGAATATGACCAGTGACGAGCAGCACGATCCTGACACTGTTTATGGTGAGTGGGGGAGGAAAAGAGAGGGGGAGGGAGGGAGGAAGTGGGGTCTACCATCTTTTGAATTAATCAGTTTTTGGCTCTTAATTTGTATTAATTTAAAATGTTTTTTGTAAACAATAATAATAATATAATCCAAATTTCTTCCCTGTTTCTTCCGACAGGCTCCAGTTTCCTTGTCCCAGTTTCAGGGTTTATTTGCAGACTCTGCAAGAAGTTTTACCACTTTGACTCCTCTGCTCTGCACAGCCACTGCACATCACTGCCGCACTTTGAGAACCTCAAGGTTTGTTGATAATATCGCTGGTCGTGATGAGATGAGTGTGACAGTGTGTTTGGACAGTGGCTCGAGCGATGATAAAAAATCAATGTAATTTTTTCCATCTATTTATTGTCATATTTTTTTCGGTTTTGTTGTTGTTGTGCAGATGTACAAAGCGATGTTCGCTCAGAAGGAAGGTGAAGATGTTGACTCCTCTAGTCCATCTGTCCAGTCTACAGACCTCCCTCACTCCAGCACAGACTGTTTAGTTGAAACCTCACTTGATGACGATGTAGTGACAAACCAGAACTCGGCCGAAGTCGACCAACAAATATTACAGATAGACACCCAGCTCTGTAAGAAGGAACCGGAAACCGACCTGACCTGCACTGACAGAACAGACCAGGACATGAGCCGCTGCATCAAGACAGAGGCCACGCCCACTACACCTGTTGGCAGCAGAGAGGAACCGGATGCCGACTCAGCAGCCACTGCTGAAGATGCCAACGACGACGAGGAGAACGCTGACGCTCCCTCCGCTCCAGGGAAGAGGATCGGCTGCAGGAAACCAAAAGCTGCTCCAAAACGCCGTTCAGGGAGGGTAACAAACAGACGCTGAGACGGAGACGCGGCTTTTGAACTTGGAAAGAGACTCCGACGTCAGTCTGTGAGGTATCAGTACACAATGAGGTGCTCTTATTGAACAGCAACCTAAGAAATGCACAACACAGCTTCTAAGCCATACAAAAAAATTAAACACACAGTGAGGGAAGTTAACGCCTGGTGGTTAAGAGTGAGAACAGTGAGAGGGTTGTGGTTAAAACAATAAACAGGAAACACTTCCAGGGCAGCGGTAAATTAAATGGACTGTGATGTGGAAATATGACCTCCATCAGTGAAACCACTTTGTTAACATTAGTTTCATGGTTTTTAACAACTGCAGTGTCCGTCACAGTTCACGTTTTGTTCTCTCTCCTGAAGTCATCCTCTTCTTTAGCCGTACCTGGTTTGATCCCAGATCATTTATTGTCATTTTCAGTCGTAGATTAAAGATAACAGTCTTGAAAACTGGACTTGTTTGAGGTTTTCAGGATGTTTCACATCCCGTCTAACCTATATATGTGAGGTCTCTTCAGTCCTGATCTGATTAGAACCTTTACGCATGTGTTTCACGATTTTAAAGGAAGTCCCTCCAGGTTCCTTAACAAGAAAGTGTTTCAAGTTAATCACATTAATATTTGTGCTAGAATTTTAACCCTAACGTTAGGGTTTAGACCCGGGGTGTCAAACATAAGGCCTGCGGGCCAATCTCGGCCCGCTTGATGAATTTTGAAAATAAAGTAATTCACAAACACGTCATGTTCAGGATATGTTCCGTAAAATTCTATTTCAGTAAATATGAAGATTTATCAAATGTACGTTTTGCATGAAAACAAAGGGGGGAAAAGATGGACTTTTTGTTATTTATAGGCAATTATGCTATGATTGTACTGGTTCTGGCCTACTTGACATCTTATTAGACTGCATGCTGCCCCAGAACCAAAATGAGTTTGACCGCCGGGGTTTAGACAATGTGTTTTCCAACTAGCAATTGTTAGTTTCGTACCCTGAAGTCCCCAAGGACCAGTCGCTCTACTCATTCCCTAGAACTTGAAGATCGTCAGATTGTTGACATTTAATCCCCTTGAAGTGTCGGCACGGAAACATGTATTCACCTCTCATCAACATGAAGTTTGTTTTTTATTTTTTTCTGCTTTCGTTTGGACTAGAAATGTCCAGGAATCCTCACATTCACAGACAGTTTGTGTGTTGTGTTTATTTTTACATAATTATCATTATTATTTTAAACCTTTTTATTGGATTTGTGCTGCTTGAATTTTGACAAACTGCACTTCACATTTGATTTCTTTTGAATTTGTGTTTGAAATATGCATCTTAAAATGAATTATCGCTAAAAAGCTTTCAGACTCGTTTTGATCACATTTGAAGTCACATTCCACTGGATGTTTTACTTTGCCTGCATTCGAAAAATGAGTTTGTTCCATAGTTATTTCAACATTGCATTGTTAGCATAATATATAGTGTTTGGTTGTGTGTTTTTGGCCTTTTTTTTTTGTTCCTTCCTCATTGATGATGTTTGGATTTCAGTGCACTGGACAGAAACCTCACATAACGGTCCGAGTATTAGCAAGAAAAAAAAGTTTGTGATTTAGCTAAACGAGTCGACTGTTAGATTACCACTAACTGTTCATGTAAAGAGGTCTAATATTTCACACAGTCTTCAGCCAACACGGGACGTGTACGTGTAAAATATAAGGATGTTTTTTTTTTTCCTCTTCATGACTCGTGTGCTGTTCTGAACAGACTTAGACAAAAAAAATGTTGATTTTTCCAACCACAGGACGCTGGTTGTTGTCACATGTAGCAACTCCTGCATTCATGGCGTCGACTGTCACATGACCGCGTGGAGTAATGAGACTTGAGCAGGAGGAAGGGAAGGACAGGTGAAGGCACATTTCACACAAAGCTGTACGTTTCTTAGTGTATTTTTATTCAGCTACTGACAAACTGAACAAACAGGCGATGTTTTCTAATTGCTGGAGTTTTGATGTATTTTTGGATGTTTGCCTTTTGTCTTGGGTCACTTTAATTTATATTAAAAAATGTCTGAAAATTTGGTTACATCATTATTTGTTGTTTTTTATTATTATTATTAATTTAATAATAACTTTGCATCCACTTATTTCAAGCTGCTGGTGAAATAAACCAAGAACACAGAAGATTTACAGCCATGATCAAGGACAAACACTACTGTGACAGACACTTGGAATGTTATATATACAGTATGTATATCATTTTAGGAAGAGAAAAAAAACCCACAATTCTCTTATTAATGAGATAAAGACGCACCTGAAATTTTTCACTATAACGTATCTTCATAATAACCACTGATAAAGTCCTCTTTCCTAAAAGGCAAAGTACCAGCTGAGCCAAATCCATCAATCCATACAGTCACCTTGAACAGATGTGTTAAACAATGTGACAGCAGATCACATGCAGCATCTATAATAGATAACAGAACATTATTAATGTAAGTGAAACCAACCAACCACAGGCACCAGTAGTCCCAGTGATGCCTTCACTGTCTCTCCCAAGCGTGTGTCGGCCATACTAGGTCAATAATCTTTCTAAAAATAAATTATTTTCTTCATACTTTATACTCCTCTGGGCTGAAAACTGGAGCTCTGTGCTGCTGTATTTAAATAAACATATTGGTGGTACTTGGAGGGAGGAGTAAATGCGACACTGCTGAGTAGTTGAATTGAGTTTACATACTGTAAACACACATGCTGATGAGTATGGAAACCAACATTGAAAATATAGTAAACCCACATGAAATGGTACATTTTGGGAACATATTATTATTTTCTTTATCAGAGTCTGTGTCGTCTACTCGCTCTTTTCACCCCTCTGTGGGCTCCCATCTTCTTTACTCTGCTCCTCCTCTGATTTTTGCTCCCCCTCAGACTGGGCACCGTTCAGCTGGGCCCTGAACTCCAGCCGGGCCTGTCTGTTCGACTCCATCAGTTCATGCAGTTTACCGTTGAGCGCATCATTACGCTCCTCCAGGTCATCGAGATAAGAGTTGATCTGATCCAGCATGGAGTTGATCGCTGCATACTCTGTGGAGAAGCAAATAAAGCAGGGAGGGACTTTTATTTTGAAGGTTCGGGTTGTTTTAGCCAAATGGCTACAATAACTTCCTGCAGTAGACTAGTCACAGCTATTCAGGTTCCTGCACATTTAGCATTTGTTTCCATACTTTGGACTTATGCACAAACATTTACGATTATTTTTCTGAATATTTTCATATATAATTAAGTGTAGATGCAGACAGACTTAAAGTCTGAAATACCATATTTGTTGTCTTAATAATTAAAATTCACGCAAAATGTAACCCATATAACAATTTGTTAGAAAAAAATTCGAAATTGTTTACTTTATTTTTAACGTTTCGTTTTTTATACAATGCTCGTCACATTCTGTATAATTACATCAGGTGCATGAATGTAGTTATTGACATATTTAACTAACCATCGACCAAAATAAGTCACTAAACGAAAGCAATCTTTAAATGGAGGACAGTCCGTTGCTCCAACACTGTTATCAGTTGTGACTTTAACGAATGGAAGACATGTTGGCTTTACCTTCGTCGCCAAACTCATCTTCGTCATTAATAATCCCGTCGTCCATAGAGATGTTCGGATCACCGTTCGGTCCAGACATGATTCAAACGTGACCGTTAGTCACTTATTTCCAGACTCAGTTACTGTCAAGCTATTCCAGGCTAACAGGCTTCCAGACAGCACAGCAATTCGGTGATATAACACAACAAACAGAACAGAAGTGTGACGCTGTTATACAAAAGTTATTCAACAACAACGTCACCTAATCAAAACCGTATAAAATTGAGTCTCCGTAGCCGCCAGTTAGCTACTTTAACCTATCGTAGTTTCCACACTACACCGACGAAATCTGTTTGCTGAACCAAGGAATTATGGGAGGAGTGGGGGCGTGGCTATAAACTCCGTTTGGAAATTATAGATACTCGACGACACACGGCTCACCTGAAGAAAAATCCTGAATCCTGAAGTAAATTAATTGAAGTAAAATAATTTAGTTGTACAATTTAATAATAAGATTTCTTTTTTAAATTATTACGTTCTGTGGGTTTATATCTTATTTTTTTCCGTAACTCGACTGTACACTTTTTTTATGGTCGGTTTTGAAATAAGACAGAGTGGGCCATCTTTTTTTTTATCTTTCATCTATGAGTTGTCACATGTCAGTCAGCTGATTAGTGGCGTTTCACAGTGCTGCGTTTTACTGTTTGTTTACTATTTGTTTACGTCATAGTAATACAAACAAAAACAATAAAAAAGTTAAAAAAAATACATTCGACACATACTTTGACTCAGTTTTACCTGTTTTAGTTATTCAATAGTCAACTGCATATACTAGTTAATTTTTACTCATTTTGGCTTTTTATTTATTTATTTATTTTTGCTGTTTTTCTGCGTCCGTTTTGTCAATCAACTACTTCTCAACTACGTCGCTGGAAAAAACAATTGTAGATTTTAAAAATTCCAAACCCCTCTTATTTCCCCCACTTTGATCGACAGAGGGCGCCAAGCATTCAGGCGTCACAGTGCGTGTGCGTATCCGACCCACGTGTGGAGACACACTTCCTGCGAGTGTGTTTAACCTGGAAACTAATACATTTGAAGCTGTGTTTGGGAGTTTGGAGTTTAAGCAATGGAGGATTTACCTTCGGATCTCAGGGGCTTTCTTCTCAACCACCCGTTTCTTCAACTCACGGACGGCAAAAAGGTCGGTGAGCAGACGCCTGCGTGTTACAGTGAGAACGCGTTCATTTTGTTGTTAGCTGTGATGCTAACTTACCGCACGACATGCGCTGTCAAACAGGGATCCAGAGCGACTGTTGTCACCGCTGTAACCGCTGCTACTTACTGAAAACATTAAGAAACTCATACATGCTGAGGCAGGAAGACGACTTTTTAAAATATATTTTTAGCCGATTTGTTTTACAAATATCACGTGAACTTTTGATTAAGTGTTTCATCTTTCTTCAACGGTGTTTACACAAATGAGTGATGTATCATATTCAGTAAAACCTTAATGTACATATGCAGATGTCGCCTGTCTATTTCAGATCAAATGCACGCTTAACGGACACGAGTTTCCATGCAGCCTAACAGAGCTGCAGAAGTTCACGAAGGGGAAGAAGTATGAGAAACTGAGTGCAACGGCAGAGTTCAACTACAGCCAGTATGAGCCACACATTATTCCCAGCACAAAACAGCCGTAAGGACACTCCTATCAATCTCCCAAAATCTTTGAGAAGATGTTTCCTCTTTAAAAAAAATGTAACTCGCTGATGTTTGTTTTCCAGCAAACAGCTCTTCTGTAAGTTGACCCTCCGACATCTCAACCGGCAGCCACACCACGTCCTCAGACATGTCAACGGGAAACGTTTTAAAAAGGCTCTCTCCAAATGTCAGTACCACACAAATTCCACCTGCACAGTTTTTCTTTTTAATCCTGTGTTGTTGATGTGATGCCGTGTGAAGTGTGGATGTCACCAACTCAAACCTGTTCTGTATAAATATGATTTCTGGGTAATTTTTAACATGTCAGTGGTGAAAATTCACTGTCTGTCCATTATATTTAATTCATGTGTGTAACATATTTAATCTGATCGACCATGAATGGGCAAAGAAAATGTATAGGGTGAGGAAGAAAGTACCGTGCCGTACTGATAGGGGGCAGTGATGTGCGGTGATGTTCATGACTGACTGTGCTGAGCCCCGTAGGCACAACCGGTAACAGGTTCACGTCACTGCGTTAATCCTGTGGAGCCGGTTATGTTTTAAATGTTTCAAATTAAAATAAATAGAAACATTGTAGGTTTAACAAACTGTCGTTCGTGTTGCAGATGAAGAGTGTGTGAAGCAGGGAATTGAATACATTCCAGTCAGACTCACACAGAAAAAGCCCAAGGATATCGGAGATGACATCAGTCCAAGGAGGCCGTCGAAACACGGGGGCAACGCGTGGGAACCGTCCTCCAGTGACGATGACCACAGTGACTCTGAAGACAGCATGAGTGACCTCTACCCTTGTCAGTGTTTGTCCCACTTTTTGCACATAGATTTTTTTTGTTAGACTTTAATTTCAGGTACAATCTGGTGAATTCAAAACTCAAATGTAACTTGAAATTTAAATAAACTGACACAGAATTCTGTACATGTAACTGTATCTACATGACAAAATAAAAAAAAATTGACTTTTTTCCCCCCACAGCTTCCATCTTCACATTAAAAAACACAAGTGAAGAAATGGTACAAGATGAAGAACATAAAGAGGAGGAGGAGGAAGACGACTTCCAAACAGACGAAGATGAGGAAATGGAGGTGGATGAACAGGTTACTTCGAAACGCAAAAAGGCAAGTTTTTTAAATATGTATTTAAAATGGTGTGTGTGTGTGTGTGTGTGTCTTGTACAAATCCCACTCACTTCTGTTATTGCTGTCTTCTCCCATCCTCAGGTGCAGGACGGAGGTTTTCAGAAGAAATTCAGGAATAATAACTGGAAATCTGGACGCAAGAAAACTAAGAAATTACAAAATGGGAAGTGAAAACGAACCAAACCAGTTCATTAAAAAACTGTTTTCTGGCAGTTTCCCTGAGGAACATTTTTATGAAATAGAAACCTCGTTGTGAATAAGAAATATTTTGGACTGTGTAGATTGTGCTTGAGTTTGAAAGCATATCAGACACTGCTTTAAAATACAAATGAACTTGCAAATGTTGTTTCTGTGTCTTGTTTTTATGCAAATGTTTCTTTAACCGCCCGTGTCACAAATCCTCTTTAAATAATAGAAAAACAAATCAACAAAATAAGTGCAAAACAAATCCATCTTTAGCATTGGCTTTTTTAGAAACTATTTAACAAAATGTAGAAGTAAAAAATATTCCATGTGAACTGAAAATAACTGGAAAAAATAGTAGAGGTTTTTTGTTTTTTTGCCACTGAAACCATGAATATGGACTGCTTTTTTTTAGATGACTTCTTCTGCAGGACTAGAGTCTTCTAAGAACATCATCAGACTAAGTACACAAGAATTAATTGTTTGGTCAAATTAAACGCAAATAGAACTTTTTGTATAAATTAGCCTGGGGATGTAGGCACTACAAATAGAAATTAGAGATGTGTCACCCAAAGTACACTCACCCCATGGTAAAACACCCAGGTGAGACTATAACCCTGAGCTTAATTTAATACATTTATAACTGAGTGTTGGAGAACATACAATACATTTAATGTTGTCAAATGTACTGTAAAAACAGCCATTAAAATAGAATGAATGAAATGAGATGAAGAACGACACTTGTTGAAACCAATCAACACACTCTGATATTCAACTAAACGAGGATGCTGCAGACTGTGCTGGGATTGGGTGGATTCATTTTCTGTTAATTGTGTTATCTTTTATTTCATTATTATTGAATTCATATATTTTAATTAATATTGCGTCCGCATGCTACATAAATAAAAGAATGTAACCCTAACCCTTTCTTTAAAAATGCTTTAATACAACATGAGCATTAATCTTGATTGTCAACTTCAACATTTGTGCATCCATAAATCCACCGAACATGGGTTTGATTAGTTCCGTTGGGCCTTAATAACAGCGCTGCAGGGTTGGATTACACTTACAAAACAGTCAAGGTGAAACGTCAAGTCGTCAAAGTGTTGTTTACACTTTCACAACCCGTAAACTACGGTGTTTGGTCGGCGTCATGGCCGTCAACAGAGCGATCTACGTGGCATACAGCGGTTGCAGCAGCAGCAGTGCCATGTAGGGGGCCGTGTTTGCTGTGGCGCTCGTCAAATCGCGGGGCATTGTGGGGCGGAGGCGGCCTTTCCCTGCGTGCAGGCGAAACGGGAAATCTTTCAAGTAAATAACGGCCACAGAGGGGAAGAGAGGGACACGCAGAGCAAGGAAGGGAGGACATTCAGGCATTCGGGGAACGTGTCGAGCTCAGCCGTTAATTTCTAATAAAAGACGTCACGTTGGGAAGCAACATGGGGCAAGAGGAATTGATGAACACCGCCGAAGACGTGGCGGATCAGGTAACTTCAACACCGCTGCTCGCGTTAGCCGCGGCTAGTTAGCATGGTGGCTGCTCACTAGTTTGTGAGTAACGGCTGCTGTCTGTCAGTGTGGGGTTTTCACCCTGCTTTCTACATTATTCTTTACTGCTGTAGACAAAGTTAGGTTTATGAGCACAGCAGCATTTGTACGCGTTTTGTATTAAATAAGAGTAACTAATGTCTGGTTGTAAAGGTGTTTATAGTCCTGTCATGTCTCTTACTATTACAGTTACTTTTGTAATGAAACACAGCAGAGTTGTAACAACTGTTTTTTGGGGTAACTGGTTAATATTAAATCTAGTTAAAGGTCCTGTTTTGTTTTGTTTTTTTTTGGTAGTTTGTTAGATTTACCCAAGGGAACACCTGGTTGAGGCTCATTGTCCTTTTTGGCTCCCATATGCTTTGCAAAGCATATGTTGATTGTTGATCTGGGTTTTGGTTTTTAAGTGAAGACTTCTGGTCTACGTGGTGGTAACATTTCATCTTCAAAACGTATTTAAGTTTTACTTTCCTCCACTGACCTCCCCACTGCTGTGTGAAGAAATAAGCTGGACATGTTATGATCAGATTTCAGGGTCAGCCATTGACCCAGGCCAAGGCTTAGCTGAAAGAAAACGGTTCCAGTTCCAGATTTTTTTTTTAACTGAGTTCTCCACAGTGACATTAAGTCATACAGAAACAGGAAACATCATGTATAAATGTACACATATACATGGAGGTGTTTTAGGTGGTGTATTTTCATGTCTAGTAAACTGCCACTGGTACGCACTCGATTACATTCTCTTAATCTCTGGTCCACGTCCTTGTATTTTTTTTCTTCTAGATAGTCCAAGATGTTAATGGTGTCCTTGGACGACTGTCATTAAAAATATTTTGTCTCCCGTCTGTCGAAGCAGACTCGTCTAAAGCATGCTAATGTAATTAAACCTGATTGGGTTAAAACCCATTCACTGTAACATTTACAGTCACCCCTGCTAAGACCCCTTTGTGGTCACATGTCCCACAAATGGATATTGGGAACACACACTTTTTACACACACACACACACCTCTTACTCCACATTCTACATTTCTGTTTTTTTTTTTTGTGTGTGTTGCAACCCTGGGCTTGTTCAGATTGGTCCTCAGTCGTCCAGTCATGTCTCACTTAGCAGTCTTAGTGGGAGTTGGTTGAAGCGGATTGGCTGCCGAGGTCTGACAGTGCTGATGTGGACAGCTGAGGAGGCGGAGATGGTGCAGGGGGGCAGGTCAACACTCCAACACTGTTTCTCCTGTGAAACTGAAAGTCTGCTCTTGGACACAACGTACTTTTTTATTTAATTAATTTTACAATTTGTTTAGACAGTCTGCTCCATTTTGTACATGTGAGCCCTCTTGGGGATCGTGACATGGAGTGCATCACGTTACATGAGGTTTGCCTCATTGTCGATTGCACTTCAAGCTCAAGTGAGCTTTTTGAAACATGCTTTGTTTAGTTGATGAGCAGTTCAGTCAGCAGTCGTCGCATGTTACTTTTTGCATCCCATGATTAATTGCAATAATAAAACAAAAAGTAGAACAACCATACACCTATGTGAGTTTATTATATAGTTTTTACTTCAGCGGGAATTCTCTCATCGCAGCAATTTTCCCTTTAAATTATTGTTGTTGCTCTCACTTGGCACAGGTTTAAATGTTGTGTTGGTTGACGCCCGTCACTGTACTACACTGTAAATAATAACTATAAGCATCTGAGAACAGTCATCGAAGTTTGAAGAAAGTATTATTTAGTGGCCGGAATCTGTCGCTGATGTCATTTTAAAATATTTTCTTTCTTTCTCATTTCATGAATTTACCATTTTCCCCTTTTGTTTTTTTTTTGTTTTTTGTAGTTTTTGCGGGTAACTAAACAGTACCTGCCCCACTTGGCTCGCCTGTGTCTCATAAGCACCTTCTTGGAAGACGGCATTCGCATGTGGTTCCAGTGGCACGAGCAGAGAGACTACATCGAGGCGACCTGGAACTGTGGCTACTTCTTAGCAACATGCTTTGTGCTACTGAACCTCGTAGGACAGCTGGGTGAGTAGTTAGTAGAACCAGATGATCCATTCACTAAGTTAAATAAAAGAGTAAAACCCATGTTGAACCTGAGGTTCCCCCCCCCCCTCTCCACCCCCCCATGGGGACAGAAATGTTTGCACACACCCCCATTTCCCACCCCCTGGAAATTGAAATACTATTGAGAACCGGATAACATGTATATTTTCATCTGTACAAACCACTGTATGAGTTGCTGCCACCTAGTGACTGGAGGCTTGTGTCCAATTATGTCAAGCGTGCCATATTCCATTGGAAGCCCGTCGTGCACCCCCAATGGGGCCCGCCCCACTATTTGAGAAGTACTGCTCTAAAGGCACATTGCGCCATCAGAAGAAACAAAACAAAACAAAACAAATTAAAAGTCAGATGGAAAAGACAGAAAGATCTCATCTTGGCGACCTTTTGTTCCCATAATTCAGCTGCGTATGTGTCTGCTGTGTTCCAGCACCGTTGTGTCTGTAGCACACAGTGAACTTCACCTATAGATTATGTCATTGTCTTGCTGATTAAACAGAGGAGACTGATGGGGCTGTTGCTGTTATCGATCACAATAGCGGTAGAATGCCCCTCTGAGCTCATTGACCTTTGAGCTAGATAGGCTCTGAGATCAAAAGTTGAACGGTGATAAGGACATCAGCTGATCTGGTGGGCCGTATTTGACCGCCACTGTCCTAATAAGTAGACCCTCTGATTTTTTTTTTTCTCAAGTCCGTCTTCATCAGACAACAGCTGTATTCTAAAAAAAGGAACAACTCAATATTTAAGGATTAAGCCACAAAGTTCATACAAGTCGAGAAAAATGAATCGTTTTTTTGACTGACAAACAGTCAAGGCCACGTCTGAAACATCCAGAGACACCCCTGCTATAAAGGGAATATTCAGTTTTAAATTAACTTCCTTTTTTAGTCTACTTTATCTATGGGTGACTTTTTTTCTGTCGTCCGCATTGTGTCAACAAATGCTAATAACATTGACCAATCAGCAAATAGAGCTATTTGCACATTTAAAGCGTTAAAAACTGTTAGAGGTAGAGAGGAAAGAATGGTCTGGTGTCTTTACATGACACAGAAACAGGAAGTTGCACTTCAGCTCTAAAACTCACAGTTTAGACGCCACGTAACATGACCCTAAGGCTCTGCTAAACACTAACGTTTGGATGTTCTACGTAGTGAGTCGTGGAGTAGATGATTTTATCATATGGTTCTGTGTTTTTGCCTTTTGTTGGCAGGATAGATTACTTTATTTTCTGTGATCACAGTAAAGTCTCATCTTGGATTTCTAGTTTCTTTTCTTTGCACATTGAGTAGAAAATAAAGTCAGAATTCCACATTAGAGATTACCATGTTCCAACACCTGAGCTACCAGATGTCTGACTGTAGTTGTTATATCTTAGCCAGGGGACAAACAGACACATTAATGCCTGCAGCTCTGTGCACACACTCAGCAGACCTGTCACAGTGGTTGTTCTCACATTCATGACTGACAGGTATGTTGTAGGGCTGTAGGAAAAATATTGATACACTGATATAGCGTGATATTTAGTTCCACGATACCGATATTCTACAGTGCTTATTTTTTATTATAGTTTATTTTTTAGTTAAATATTAATTTTATTTTGCTTTAATTTCATCTCTACTGATTACAAACGTAGATCCCCCTCAGTTTTAGTAACCTGATGTTAAGATGGAGTTTTAGTAGCCTGATGTTAAGATGGAGCAACATTGTGTGTTTACTGTGCTGACAGGATTACTAAACTTAAATTGCTTAAAAAGAAATATATATGTATATATATGTATGTATATATGTATATGTATGTGTATATATATATATATATACAGTATATATGTACAGTATATATATACATACATATACATGTATTGACCTCTGTTCTCATCATCTATGCATTAAAAATGTATATTATTAGCCACATCTGGACTTCTCCACAAACTTTTGTCTTCTGTTCAGATTTATTAATTAATTTATTAATGTTTTTCCTTTGTTATTTCTTGTTGTGCAGTTTTTTTTCCTTTGTTATTTCTTGTTGTGCAGACACACTGTAAATCTAAAATAAAAAAACTGTCACAACATTTCTATGTATACACAGGTATATGCTCTTGGACCACTGTTTAATGTGAGAGAGACCAGAGTAGTTGAGTGGATGAAGAGAGGATAAGTCTGATAAAAGTTCAAATTGACATTAAACCGTATTATTCCCATTCAGAGAACATATAAAGTGTGAACGCTCAGGATGCATTTGATGGTAGAACCTGTGTCTCTGACCTTTGTGTGTCTCCTCACAGGTGGCTGTGTCCTCATCCTCAGTAGAAATTTTGTACAGTATGCCTGCTTTGGATTGTTTGGCATCATAGCTCTACAGGTAAGAACACATCACTGTGAGTGTGTTTGCAATATTTAAATAGATTTTTTTTAACCTCATTTTTTGTTTTTATGTCCCTCTCCCAGACGGTCGCATACAGCATTCTATGGGACCTCAAATTTCTGATGAGGTAAGTCACGACAATCTCTATGTTTTTAGAGACTGCTCACGTGCACCTAGTTGTGCTAGCTACTAGCATCTCTAAACATTATAATACTTGGTCAAGGCTACGCAGAAACATGTATGGGTATTAAAAAGTTCACTGAAGATCAAACATCCAAAAAGCCAACGCACAACACACATGCAGGTATGTACACGTCCTCAGGAAGACAATGCAGCGTTCGTTGGCTGTTCAACAACATACTTGACAGCAGTCATCATCACAGTCGATGGTAAAGGAGCCTCTATGGTTGACAGCATTTTTTCTGTTGCAGATAAAACGTGTCTTTTTATTCATTGATACGAACCAACATCACAGTGTTAATGTTACAAAGCACGTGATATGGGCTGGGTATTGTTGAGAATCTCATGATTTGATTTTATATATTGATTCAGTTTGAAATTGTTCTAAATGCATTGATATCAATTCAGTATCATGTAGAAATACACAAATAATTCAGGTAATTTAATAATAAAAAAATATTGATTTAATTTCATGCCCATGTGAACAGATATGGATATATGTGTGTGTCAACATAACCAGATATGGAACAATATATGAGGCAGACAATCATACATATCACACCTTTCTGGTTTATGAATGAATGAAGCTATAATAGTAAAAATAAATAAATTACCTACTACTACTACACACTCACTGCCAACTAACATTCCTTCCCACTGCACCCAGTGACTTTGTAGGTGCCCCTCTCCGACAGCAGGGGGCACTGTTCTCTACTGATTATGTCCTGTTTGACTGACCTGTCTTTTGTTGTTGCCTTCATTAAACGTGGTCTAACGTAACATATGACGTTGTCTCCTTCTGCACCACAGCCGTCTGCTGTAGGAGACATGATTGGTCCATAAAGGGATCTTTACTTCAGGCTACTTTACCTGCTGTGTGACTGCAGCTCTGACCCTTCCCAAATACCCTGTCCAAAAATAACCACCTCCTCTCTCCTACTCTGCCAGAAACCTTGCCCTTGGCGGTGGTCTGCTCTTGCTGCTGGCCGAGTCTCGTTCAGAAGGAAAGAGCATGTTCGCTGGAGTCCCTTCTATGGGGGAGAGCTCGCCCAAGCAGTACATGCAGCTGGGCGGCAGAGTACTGCTGGTGCTCATGTTCATGACTCTGCTGCACTTTGACTCCAGCTTCTTCTCTGTAAGTACTGTGGACACAAAGGAGTGTCAGTCACAGACACGACACCGTCCCACGGGGGTTTGGTTACAGGCTGTATCTCATTCATCCCACTTTAGTTTTTATTCCTCATTGTTCATATGGAGACACAAATACACACCTTTTTATGCTAGCTTACCAGACCACAAACAGGGCAGGATTCAAACCTGCATTGCTGTTACCACTGGGTCTAAAAGTAGACTAAGTGCTTCAGAGAGAAGCAGAAAAATTCCAGTCTACCACATCAACTTATTGCCGTCACCTTATTCATTCTAAAGGAAAGTCAGACAATAGTCTATGACCAGGTCAACAGCTCAACTATAAAAATATTCAGTTGTATCAGTTAGTGATTTTCCCACTGAAAATAGGACATGCAGTGTCTGAGCCAGTGCTCTTATCACACTGATGAGTGGAGACTGACTGTGTGGCTAAAACCTGAACTACGCCCCGTGGTGGTTGTTAAACATTAACACATTCACATGATTCCAAAACAATTTGAGTTGACACATCTTATCAGAACTTTTTTTGGATTAGATTAGCGACTGGTATCGGATATGAGGAGATGGTTTGGACTTGTGTTTCCAGATGTATGAGACTAAGGATGTTGGAGATACAGCTGCACCATTTATGGATGTAGTGATGGAGGAGATAACAATTTTTGGTGTAAACGTAGATTAAACAGTCAAATGTAGGCCTAAGTCTGCCAGTCATTTGTGGAAAAAAAAGGGGGGGGGAAAGAGCAGCATCACTGCATATTTCTACCCAATCATATGCTCGTAGTAACACTTTCTTGATTTTTCTTGATCTAATTAGCTTTCTTTGTGTAACTTCCCAAAACATTGTCTGTTAGTTTATTCTTTTTTTTCTTTTCACAGATCCTGCAGAACCTTGTGGGAACTGCCCTAATCATCCTGGTGGCCATCGGCTTCAAAACCAAGCTCGCAGCGTTGACCCTGGTGGTGTGGCTCCTAGTCATTAACTTCTACTTCAATGCTTTCTGGACCATCCCTGCCTACAAACCCATGCACGACTTCCTTAAGTATGACTTCTTCCAGACCACTTCCGTCATCGGTGGCCTGCTCTTGGTGGTGGCACTGGGACCAGGTGGAGTGTCCATGGATGAGAAGAAGAAAGAGTGGTAGACAAGAGTGGTGAAGGATGAGAGGTTTGCCCAGCACCACTAACTTCCCCTTACCACCGGGACACAAAGACCTGCCCTGCTCTGCCCTGCCCTCCAGGCTCAGCAGGGTACACTGATGTTTTTCTAGTTATTTTTTATTATTTGACAGAATCCACAGACACCATCTCATAGGTTTTTTTCTATTGTCCACAAAACAGCTTTTGTTTGTTTATTTTTTAGTTGGTTGCAATAATGTAATTTTTTTTTAAATAAAACAATTTGCAAACTGTAATTATTACACCTGCAACAACAACAAGTAATAAGTAAAGTCAAGGAGAGATTTATATGTCATGTGTTGTCAGAAGATGAATGAAAATAACTTATTGTGTTTCATGGGTGTTTTGCTAAACATTATCGTATGTTAATTTCAATATTTTCTGACTTAAAACCTGGCCTGTTTTAGCCAGTTTCACTGTCTGCCATCGGACCATGGTGTTGGAGGTTAACATGTCGTATTCTTAAAATCTTGGTACTTATTTGACATGAGCTCGTGTTGACCTTCCAGGTTCTTTTCCTCTCCCCCCCTCCCCTCCGGCCTGTCCATAGAGTTTGGACGTATTCTGTCTCCACTGACTCCTGTTTGTGGAGCGTTGAATCTGGAGGGAGAGTACAGTGTATAGTGGTGATAGAGAATTTCAACACATTTGTTAGCGGCAGGACTCGTTATGGGGCACTTTGTACTGTACGTCTGTTGCAAAGGCCTAATTATTGACCTGTATGTCATGGGTGACAAAAGGGGAGGCATGCAAGTGTTTGCGAAACACCGAATTCTTCAGGACTAAGCAGAATCACAAGTCACCTGAACTGTTGTGTATTTCGCCCTGTGTAAGAAAAAAAATTCAGTGTATTAATTTTCAGAAGTTTATATTGTATTTTTGATCTTTTTTTTTTTTTTTTTTTTGGAAGTTCATGTCGGTAGAATAAAAATACAAATACAGTATAAACAAGTCTGGGTTATTTTTCTGTCGAGCTCTTTGAAAAAACACTGACATCTGACGGACAACTGATGTAACTGCTTTGGCGCTTTGCATCATGCTCAGCCATGCTGTTAAAATCCACAAGGACAACTCTAGTATGTACGTTATACATTTGGTGAGATATTTGTCTGTAATTTACAGTCTAATTAATTAAAAAATGGTTTTAAAAAAACTCGACATAAAATGGTTTTAAACATTTGGACAGGTTTTTATAAACCATTAAAACTAGGAGTAGTACGCGTATACAGCGGAGTAACGTCCGACAGTTAAGTAGTTAAACACGTTTTTGATGTTTTTCGTGTTTAACTCTTGTCTGTCCTGTTCGCAAAAAAAAATCCAGATTTACAACTGGGAGTTACATCTTTTGAAAAAAAAAATAAAGAAAAAAAATCAGTAAGGCAGTGATGACGTCATCGAGTTGGACGTCTCCTCCCGCCGAACGTGCCTAGGCTGTTTAAAAATAAAAGGAGCAGCGTCGCTCTGTCCGTGTTGCTCAGTGAATCAGTCGCTGCTTCTCATCAGTTTCTCGCTACTTGCACAGAATATACTGCAAGGACAACATCTCGTGAGGTGAGTGTATTTAACGTACGCGTGTTTTCTGTTGTTTTGTTGAGTATTGTCAACAGGTTTGCCGACGTCGCGGTGATTCTGCGATTGAGTTGTTTTTGTTTTTAACGTCGCAGCGTACAGTATATGACGAGTTTACGTTTGTAGGTATCGAGCTAATGTATTACTTTAAAACGATGTGATGAGGATATATTGGCGTTTCGAGGTTTCCCTTTTTGCCTGTCCTCACAACTTTAAATCACATTCCAAAGCAGATGTGCGAATATACGTGTTCGTGTTATGTGTTAATGTCATACATTTGACATCGAACGGTCAAATCGAGTTAAGGGGTACACAAACGCACCACGTCTCTTACGATCACACGGTGAGGGGGTGCATCGTGGTGAAATTAAGACTGTGAGGAAACCACGCGAGATATGTCATCATCGTCCACATCCAATGTGCAAAATAGATTTGCAGTAATTAATTTATACGTTTTTAGATATTTGACCACAAAGGTTTAATTTGCCAAATCACAGTAT